CCGGTTATCTTCAGGAAACCGAATTCTGATGACGATTTTCATGAAGAACTTACATCAGTATATACTAGAAACTCAAATTTCATATTGTCATGTAATATGTTTTAACAAGATAATCAGTTCTAATGAAATTTAATATTTTTGTTAAATTCTGCGATAATTAGCTATCATTATATGTTTATACTTAGTTTATATAGTTACATGGCTAAGTGTCTATGTAATAACGAGATTTCCAGTATGCGATGCGATAATATCAAAACGATGGTTATTATTGTACAAACCCCAGAAGAATGTAATTTAAGAAAATCTAATAAAATTTCTTCTAATATCCTTCGTATGTTTAACACATTGAATGTGTATAAATAAAGCGAAGTACTATAATTCACTCAATTAAAGGATGATCATTCCCAAAAATTTCTGTATTATAAATGATGCCACCCATTGCGGTGACATTCAGTTTGATGAATGTGCAATGATAATAATCCAATTCAGTCAAACGATTTAATATTACATTTTTTCCATTTTGTGTATTTTGCTCTATGAAATCATGCGGCATTCAGTGTATTAAATTGTCTGATTCACGTTCATCGAATACCGAATAGCTGAGTCAAGATGAAAGATGACCGTTCGGTATCATCGAATTTAGAGAATCGAGAATCGACGGGTTTAGATCGAATAAATCAAGATGTTCGCGGTCGATCTATCGATCACGGTGTTGGTTTTGATAAGATCGCGACTGGCGTCCCGACTTTCTAGGTCGTCCGGTTTCTTCCGGCATGGATGGATAGTGTTTGGAACGGTTTGTGCCTGACGTCACGCGCCGATTATTTGCTCTACTGTAATAGTTTATTTTCCCGCGCGGATAATGGCATAAGCACCGGTCCGTTCTTGAAATTGTTATTAATCGCTCACGTTATCCAACCTTCGAGCTCGAAGCAGTATAAAGAGCGTTTGTCGGAAGATCCTTCGTTCGTCGGACCGGTCGCGAAGTGGAAAACAACGGAATCGCCGATTTTCAATTGGAACTCGATCGGGAAGCCTTTTGTCTCGATTTAAACGGTGGACAGTGTTTACCGGGCCGCTCGGTGTATTTTGGCGAACCGAAACCCCGGAACGAAAATATTTCACCGCTTCGAATCCCCTTTGCGACCGTTCCGCCGTGGCCGCCAGGAGACAACGATTTCCCTGGGAAAATAAACGCGGGGAAACCCGGACAGGTATCCGCGCGATGTTCATCGACTCTCGTATCTTATTTCATCGTTACATTTTCGAATTCACCTCGGAACAAAGCTCCCCGAGGGAACTTTACGGCGGCCTTGACGAATGCTGCAGACTCAACATGAACGCAGACGCAGCGAGGAATGTAATTTTCTGTTTACCGCTCGGAAACATCAATATCGCCGGGAATATCTTGTTTTACCCGCGAATTCACCCTCCAAAGGAGACAATAACAATATTCCGACGTTACGAAATCACTTGGATACCAGATTTCGCGCAACCGAGTTGTACAACTGCAGCGGTGTTCGAATGTTCTCGGGCGGATCGTTTTTTGGAACGATCATCCATGCCACATGTGTCGCTGTCATTAACCCTTTGCTCTACATTATCGTGTCGGAGTCGCGGCGAAGAGTTTCGAATGAAATTTAACCGTTTGCACTCGAGAATATTTTTCTCAATGAATATTCATTCTTTTCTGATGAAATGTCAATGATATTTTTTGCAACATAAAGAAATACCTTGTATAAATTATGTGATAGAAATATTTTTTATGATCCATGTGTTGATATATTATATAAAATTTAATATTGAATTTTTAATTCTAGTATATAAATATAAATATCATTTAATTCTCCCAAGCCCGAATTGAATATTATTTTTCTATTATTAACATATTGCGTACCAGCTGATTTTCAGAAAATTAAATTGCGACTGACAATTTTCAGTGAGATCAATTCACATCATTATACATAGAAAAACTCAGATATCATATTGTTATGATACATTTTAAATAGATAATCAATTCGAATCAAATTTTATACTGTTTTCAATGCTGTGGTAATTAGCGAAGTTTCATAGCTAAGTGTCTTTATATAAAAACGAGATTTCTCGGTCGGAGATTCTTTGAAACATACAAAACCTTCAAAAGATGAAGCTAAATTATATATCAATTGCTTAATCAATAGAAAAAAAGGAAACTAAGTGCTGATCTCTCGCTGTTCGAGTAATTAAATCAATTGTCTGCGATTTAGTCTTCCAAATATGAAAATTTCGTCTCGTCGAAATGTCGACATTCGTTCGCAAAGGGTTAATTATAATACTTCTAAGTGAACGTAGACATAGAATGTAGAATTTTCCTCCTTCTATAATGAACTATGAAACTAATGAGAAAACATACGTGAATTAACAAACAAAGCTATTTTATAGAAATACTTCAGATATCGATGCATTATATAAAACTTAATATTATATATAACACATTGTAATTTTGTTATATCAAATCAAATGGTGAAAGTCACCTCTCGAATGCAAAAGGTCAAATTGAATCATTCATTTCTAAAAAAGTATGTCCAAAGAACAGATGTTGTCGATTCTTTCACAGTGATGTATACAATACATCCTACACGTCACACTAACAAAAAGTTCAAGCCTTTATTCAAATCTTCCAAAAACCTGGGAACTTTCGAACGCCCCACATACCTTACCTACCTCAAAATTATCATACCCAACATATCTACGCATATTTATCATTATCCACCCAACATTCAACAATTTCTAATACACCAAAGATACTCTCCACTCGTGAACCCCATGAAACAATCAAACCACAAAGCACAATATAAATCCTACTTCCCCATAGAACCACAGCAAAGCTACCCCGTGGCACAGCGTAGCAACCGACCGGCATCGCGCAGTATCGGAAGAAATTGTATTCGGCGAAACGCACCCGGAGGAAATGTCCCGGAATCATCGCGAAATGGTTCGAAAAATGGTCCGGCGTAGACGAAGGGGGGTGGGTTCCCCCGTCGCGCGCCGGGAGCAATGAAATCAACGGCGCGATAGAGCCCGCAGGCCTGGCGGGCCGGTGTGCCCCGAATGAAGATGCATCGTCCTCGACGGGGCTGCACCGATGCGTCGAGTCTCGGCACGCGATACCGAATATTCGAAATCAATACAGGTTACCGGCAACCTGGCCGGCATCGCTGACGTTCGTGCGCCAGCACACGGGCACAGAAGCTCCGCGTCCCCGTCCGGCGGCGGCGGCGGCGGCGGCGGTCTATCCTATCCTGTCCCACACCCACGTAGCCCAGCCGTGTACGTAATGCGGTTTAATATAGACCGATTGTGTACGGCGTCGGTTTCGGCGGAGCGGCGGCCGTCGCGGAGAGAGAGAGAGATTGTATCTCGCCAGCGACAGCCCGAGCCAGCTCCGGCCGAAGGAAAACATCTGACAGGCCACATGCGAGAGGCTAGGGTATCGTGAGACGGAGCGCGCCGGAAGCCACTGGACGGACGGGCTGTTTCGATTACGGAAACCGGGCCGGGTTCTAATCGGCGCCGGGGAAGGGACGGACAATCGATCCCGTGGAAAGAACTCGTTAAGGCTAGCGCAGACCGAGGCAACTGTGCGCTGTCGGGAAATTCCTCGGAGAGGTTGATTCGAGGGATAGCTGGGTGGACTGTTGCTGGGGAGGGGAATTTTTAATAAAATATTAATGTTCGTACTGGAATACAGTCGAACCTGTTTTTATGCGGTCCTTTTCTATCCGATTTTTTGTATGCGGTGTATGAATTCCAACGGTGTTGTTGTTTTTCAAGTGACGAAAGCGATTTTGAACCAGTTCGTCACAAGGAGATGCGCGTTTTAGATTACGAGTAGCAGTGAATTATGTATATGTATATGAGTGAACTTCATATTGGAATGTAACAGTATAGATTCAGTGAGGTGATGTTTGTTTTGTAATTAAGTTATTGGTATTTGAAACTTGTTTGTATTATTGTATTTATTGTTGTAATGTAGACACGTTAGATTCGAGGTTTATCTGGGAGACGCGGACTATTGCTGGGGGAGGGGAATTTTTAAGAAAAAATTAACATTTTGCTTTATAATGTCGTAACAAATATAAATATTATTCGATTTGTTAAAGCAAACGTTCATATAGAATATACCCAGAATTTTTCTTTTATTTTTAACAAACTATAAATATCAAAGTACTTAAATCGATCCTAGTTTAGAAAGAAATCATAGAACAAGAGGTTAACACTTTGCGTACCGGTTAATTTTCGGAAAACTGAATCGCGACTGGCAATTTGCAGTGAGATCAATTCACATCATTATACATAGAAAAACTCGTATATATTGTTACGTAATATATTTCAAATAGATAATCAATTCGAATCAAATTGAATATTTCTTTAAATGTCCTGGTAATTACCAAAGTTGCATAGCTAAGTGTCTTTATATAAAAACGAGATTTCTCATTACCAGCACGTAATGTTCATAATATCTAGAAATAAAGAATCTTCGTATCGTAACGAACAGTATAAATTCAGTGAAGCTAATGTTTATTTTGTAATATATTATTATATCTTTTATGAGATAGGAAGGCGCAGAAAACAAAATTTTATTTGAGAGGCGTAGTAGCGTAAAGGTTGGAAACCGCTTTTGTTGTGCTCTGTGTTGATAGTTTTCGTTGATTACGTGCAACTGTATCAGTGGGGAAGTTAATGGAAAGTTAATATTGAAAATCAGATGAGGAGAGATGAAAACTGATTCATCTGAATTCTTCAGCTCAGATCATCGAGCGGTGGATGGATTACACTGTTTTTTGACGAGTGTCTTTTTATAGTTTCGATTGGTTTATGAGAACTATATCGACGAATGGAAATTGGTATTGAAAATTGGATGACGACAGAAGAAAACTGATAGATTAGAGTGGCAATCATCAGGCTGGCCATCGAGTGATCCCCTAAGCGTAGAGGGTGGCTTTAGATTAGATGTCATGATGCTACTTCGATTTGATGGAGATGGATGTGGATTAGGGTTCACGAAATTGACTTCGACCTTGAGGGAGAGGTCAAATTCGGTAGAAGTGTCTTCAGGAAATCAGACCGAGTGGGATCGTACATTAAACTTTTAACCCTTTGCAGACAAACGTCAAAATTTTCATATTTTGGACACCAAGTCGCAAACAAATGATTTAGTTTCTCAAACGGCAAGAGATACGAAAGTAGTTAATAACTGCTCCACTGTCCTTCTTATATCTCATACGTCCAACAAAATTCGGTTCGTTCGATACGTCATGAAAGAAATTAAAGTCCACGTTTCTGTAAAATATAATGTCACCCGAATTCGGGTGATTTAGCAGTCAAAGGGTTAATAATTTTCTGCTCCTTTCCCCGCGAATTTCGACATACCGATGCAACATACACCGCGACAGCAAAGAGCATCGTTTAGAGACACGATGGGGAACATTAATTTGATGTGGACACATGACGTTGTTTATAGACTGTCAGCAGACAGTCCGTCAGTCTGGACTAGCCTTTAGAGTACACGGAAGTCTATTGACGCGGCTCCAAATACGTGTCTTACCGATTCCGACGCTCCACATGTCGGTAATTTCTTACACTTTCAGTGAAAGCTGTTTGAAGCGTAACGGTTGTCAAAGGATTCTTTTATTGAACTGGTGTAATTGAATTTCGAGGAAGAGGAATTGGGGAAATCGAGATTCGACGTAAGAGTTTGAGTCATTTGACTCTTGAATCAAATGACATTGAACAATGAATAAAGCTGAATTAATCGGTTCCACCCCCGAAAATTTCAATTAACGGCTCTGCCGACTAAAGAACGCTCGAGTCATGCTCAATTACTTGACGCGATGACTCAAGCATCGAAACATCTGTTCTATTTGGTCAGTGCAGAATAAAGAAATCAGGAATTGATCATTTTGACCTGTCTGGTAGGTTTAGTGTTAACCAGTTAACTGTGTTTGACGAGTATACACGTCATCGTAAAGCTTGACGTGATACTGATTCTTTCAGCGATGAATTCTTTATTTTCTCACGTAAACATGTGATTCTTCCTTGTTTCGCTTTGATCTTTCATTAACACGTCGAACGCCGCACGATTTCATAGAGCAAAATATACAAAATGGGAAAAATATAATATTAACCCTTAACAGTCCTATGTCGAGTCAGACTCGACGTTCTATTTTATTGCAACCTCCATCTGTTTTAACAATTTTTTCTATATTTATTTGTAGTATCACAATTGTACCATTTAAAGGTAACATTTCAATGACTCCCAAATATTCTTGAATAAACAAATAGAGCGACATGTTATGCTGTAATTGAGTGAACTAACGTTGACGTGAACCTCGAAGTGAGAAACCAAGAGCACTTCGGACCGCAAAGGGTTAAATCTTTTCATCGAAATGCATTATTATTATTATTACATGTTCATCTAACTGAACGTCACCGCATTATGTAGTATTATTTATAATATAGAAATGTTTTCAAATAAGCAACGTTTAATTGAATTAACTATAGTAATTCGATTTGGCTGGGGGTCATCGGTGACCCCCACGGCATTCAACGTGTTAACCCTTTACACTCGGGAGGTGACTCTCAGTCACCACTTGATTTCCTACAGTGAAACTATAAAGTTTGATATTTAATGTTATACTTCATATAATGCATTAATCTGAGAAATATTGACGTAAAATAGCTTTGTCCGCCAATTGTGAATTTCTCGTCGAGTTGGTTTTACAAAATATCGTCTTCATCTCATCAGAAAATGTTGAAATACTTCTAGTGAAAAACTTCGGAGTGCAAAGGGTTAAAATATACTGTACATTTTTCGATTTCATTGCGCGCAGAACGAGAGGTGTTTCCAACTAAATCCCACACTTAACCGGTTAACGGAGCCGTTACATTACCGTAGATCTGCGAATTAGTTTTGATAGAGATAAGAGGCGGTCTCGAAGGGTTTCCATGCTGGATGTTGCGAAGTCGAAGTTGCCAGTTTCGTGTCCCGAGGGATAATCCTCCTGCTCCACAATATATCCATTGGTAGTTCTATTTGGGAGACTTACTTAGTAGGCTCCGTCACTTCCAATATAAACAGTGACACTGACACTGTCAGAGGAGAAGCTTAACCCTTTGCTTCGAACATAACCAATGAGATCTGCGGAGGAAATATCCAACTGAATTTAGTAAATATGTCTATCTGCTAATAGACTACATTACCGTTAACGAGCTAGTAACTGATAAAACGAGACAAATTATAGGTGAAGAGATTAAATCGATTCATCGTATACAATCTTTAGCTAATTCTCCCACATTTGATACATCCAACTGAATTTCGTAAATATGTCTATCTGCTAATAGACTACATTACTGTTAACGAGCTAATAACTGATAAAACGAGGAAAATTAGAGGATAAGAGATTAAATCGATTCTTTATCTACAATCTTTAGCTAATTCTCGCATGTTCGATATGAAACAACTATATTCAGTAAATATGCCTATCTACAAATAGACTACATTACTGTTAACGAGCTAATAACTAATAAAACAAGGCAAATTATAGGACAAGGAATGAAATCGATTCTTTATCTACAATCTTCAGCTAATTCTCCCACGTTTGATATCCAACCGAATTTAGCAAATGTGTCTATCTACTAATAGACTACATTACTATTAACGAGCAAATAACTAATGAAATAAGGCAAATTATAGGACGAGGAATGAAATCTTGATAAATGATTCTTTATCCAGAATTTTTTATAAATTCTCAAGCGTCTGACAGTGTCCCGTGAATTATTTGGGATTGTACGTTCGCAGGACTGACACACACTGCAAAATTGAGCCGGGAATTTAGGTCGGTTGTCTAGTGACTTTGATAAGATATTACGAAGTCATTGGAATCCGATCGAGATGAGACGGAGGTCTTCAAACAAAGTGATCGATTTTAAACGTGCGCGTCGAGAGATCTGATTCGGATAGCCTGTTACTTCTTTCCTCGCCGTCGGATTTCGGATAGATATCCCTCACCGTTGAACTAACAAATATATGGATCGGAGGGTTTGACTTGTTCAATGTGGAAAAGATGAAGTAG